GAGAAGGATCGTTTTCGTAGTGCAAATAATATTGCTGCCAAAAGAAACCACTGCTGAATTCTAGGAATCAAAAAAGACGACTTGCATTTGCTAAAGCTCATCAGCATTGGACAAGTGAAGAATGGCAAAAGGTATTATTTTCAGATAAATCGAAATTCAATCGCGTCTGTTCTGATGAGATACGGTACGTTAGACGTCGAATTGGCAAAAGTTTGAAAACACGGTGCGTTTAAAAAACTCTTAAACATGGTGGTGGAAACGTGGTGTGGGCGTGTTTTTCTCGAAGCGGTCCTGGTCCGATATGTCGTATCAATGGAATTATGGACCGTTTTCAGTACATGGACATACTCAAGAACACAATGTTGCATTTTGCACGCAACAATATGAGCGATGATTTTATTTTTTAAAATGATAATGATCCGAAGCACACGGCTCGACTTGTGAAACAGTTTTTTCAAGAAAAAAATATTACCGTGCTGCCATGCCGGTCGCAATCACCAGACATTAATCCAATCGAAAACTTGTGGAGCATCATGAAAAAGACAGTACAAGGCTATAAACCGAAAAATTTAAATGAACTTTACTCTACAATTGAAACAGCTTGGAGTAATATTACGGTAGATCAATGTAAAAAATTAATAGATTCTATGCCAAGAAGATGTGCCAAAGTGATAAGAAATAACGGATATTAGACAAAACATTTAGTTTAAACAAAAATTGTGGATATTTTTTTACCAAAAATTATTATTTTTTGTGTAATCTTAAACTTTTGACTGACGAAATATTATAGAAACTTCGTTCCTTTTTTTCTAACTTCGCTACTGAGCAAAATATCATAATGAAATTTTTGTTGTAAGTGTATAAATAAATGTCTAATTACTTAATACTAAAAGTAGAACACTATATTTATATCTTTTACAGTAAATCAATCATTTATTTTTTTCATTTCGTCTTAATGTTTTGTCCGCTACTGTAAGTGATATACAACAGTGTTTGGGAAGAAGCACATTGGCGAATTTCTCCCAAACATTAACCAGTTATTTTTTTTTCAAAAAATTGTTTTATTTATAGCGCAGTTCGAATTGCTTTAGAGAAGGTTCGAAAAAAATTCTTTCAGGTAATAAACTTTTACGCCAATAAACAAAAAATCGATTTTCTGACAAATTTACAGTGGTGTTACCCTTTAATGCTTACCATGATCTATGGAATCAAAGCACGTTTTTTACTCTTTTTACTTGTAACGTAATAAGCTTGGGTAAGGGACGCATATTCGTAGTATCATAAAGACACGTGTCGTGCAATTTTTCCAAATTTTTTGCCGAAAAAAAGAAACAGTTTTGGGTTCGAACCATCGAAATACCAAAATAACATTTTTATGCTTAATTTATCTTAATTTTAATATTTACTATCCTGAATTTTGTTTACATTTTTTTTCCTCTTCTGACAGGATTCGATAAAGGCATTTACTTTGTAAAATCGATTCGGTTGTAATGACACGTTCATGTAAAAGTTAAATTAATTAAGCTACAGGATTAGAACGAATTATTATTTACTTCACTTTGAATAGATGGAATCAATTCGACTCAAGTTTCCAAAATACTCCCTTTAACTCTGACAATATATTCTATTTAATTATATGAGAGTAAGCAAACTGTTTGTCTCGATTGATGAAATTAGAGACTGAATAATATACGCTGGATGTTTCGATCCTTCCGAATCGACAGCTGCCATGTCAAAATTATAAATAAGTATTTACCATGCCACTTTCCATGCCACTGGATTGACAATTCTCCATTAAAAATTCCAGTTGTTAATCCAAGCCGCAGTGTACGACGCAGACGTTTAAATCACAATAATTTTAGAAACCAGTATCCGAAACGGCTGTCATTTTGGCGTGTAATATTTTTGTTTACACATTTTAAAAAAAAACGATCTCTTCTAAAATAAAAATAAAAATAAAATTATGTTTAATATTAGTCACTTCCATAATATACAAATTTGTGTCGAGTCATATTTTTACACATTTTAGACAGAAAAATATCTGTGAAGAATACGGGAAAGGAGAACGAAACTATTGCCCCGATACGATAGCTACAAGTACACCGGCCGTCAAGAAAAATTACTAAATATATAGATTTGTTTCAAATTAAGGGATTTTAATACCTGCGACATTCACTTAGTAAAAAAGACAAAAGCGGGAAAAGAGGAATTATTAGATATAAAATATTTCCGACTTGAAAACATTTTTATAAAAAATCATTTAATTCGTTAATGAAATATTAGCAAATGGAAAGTTATTGTTTTTTGACGGATTATGACGGGTAAAACTCGGACTGTAAACCATTAGACTCAGCCCCCCCCCCTACGCCACCCCCGCCCACGCCTTAGCAATATATTAATTTATCCGTAAGATTGCCGGAAAATTTCATGTATACCTGTGTCTGATGGTGAATAGTGTATCGAAACGTATTAATTAATGCAGATCAATGATATAATAACAGTATAAACAGCAATTTAACATGTCATTGACTTACCAAAAATGCCTTGGATCCTAATAATAATTATACACGTATACATATTTATATTATACGTATAAATCTTATATACAATAAAATAAATCTATTTACAACTAAATATCTCGCAATATATTTTCTTTCTATTCGTTCTATAACCTTATTATACAGGAACCTGTAACGCTATGAAATTATCGGTCCATTACTAAGGCTGATTGCACATTAAATAGGTACGTATTCATGCGGCTCCGTGCATGCGCGTCTATACTCTATACACAAACGATCTCAACTGTAAAGTTGACATGGAACCCTGCACATTAGCTACATGCATGTACACAAACACATGAACTCTTCATGTAAAATGCACAAACAATTACAACTTTATAATTTAGATTTGAATTGTATTATTGTATTATTGCGACCTATGATATGATCTCATCTGTTTGAGAAGCTGATGTAAACGCAGTAAGAAGAAGACAGTTTGTCTTAATGAAATAAAAACAAATAGTGAAAGTTACAGTGACTGACTCGATCAATGTAATGGACGTGTATGTACGTGATGCTATTCTTCCAAAGTATACATTCGTACTTGCAAACGCACCCAAGATACGCTTAACTTTAGTATTTAATTAAAGAAAACGTCAAAAAGAATAAGACAAAATACGATAGAAATAATCTGCACGCTGATATTCATTTTCAGACTCATACGCCCGTACATGTAAACGCATAAACACGTATTCAATGTGCCGTCAGTCTAACACTTTGGTTACGCAAAAATATAGATGCAATATTCGCCACTTAGTCAGGAATTTGTTCAATTTACATATACGCGTCTATTATCACCGAACTTCGCCGTATCCTCAAAAAATGATTTTCCTTGTATTTATCTCTACGTATCTATAAACAAATGTACAGTAATTACAATGAAAGTTGTCGATAAATATAAATCCATAAATACTACAAATAGGCAGATTATGTTATACTAATTTGAATCACCATAATGTCAGAGACAATACACTCGCAATGCAACGGTAGACTAAAGTTGATGTTCACGGCGTTACAAAAATTTATACCAACTTGGAACGAAAACTGTACGACGCGTGATTCGTAAATGTAACTCGAAAAATTAACCTGATTGATGACTGTAACACATAAGTATCCAAGCTAAGCTCATCGAGATTTCGATTACGACGATTACCATACCATATAATGGAACGATGGAGTATTCTCGTGCATGCACGTCGAAATCCACACTTCAAATTGTCAACTGTGGACACGGCTCCTACATTAGTACGGATATTGTTTCTAGAACTCTACTACATGACACGGTAAATTTGTCGTAATTTAAATCTTAACAAGCTCAGCTTAGACATTTCTGTTTTAACATATATTTGTTGCCGTATTGGTTGTGACATTGTTGCATTCAAGTAAAACATTTATACGCGTTAGCACTTATAGGCATAAGACTACCGCTACGATCGGTAACAGAAGAAAGGCACAAAGTAACAAATGCACCTACCAGCGAACACTGGTAAACACAGTTTTGTTCAATTCAACACAATAATCGAATTACATAACCTACTTCCCAGTTTGGCGCACCGATGGAGGACATACTAAGAATGTCCATGAAAGTAAACGAATGTCCTCAAACGATTCTCGATAAGCGTTTGGATAGTCGATCTTCACGATAACAGTATAATACACACACATCCTTAATAGAGTATACGTATATATGTATGTGCGACTTTGTTAGAGAAGCTAAAGAAAACGCTTATCTAACATTTTTATGTAAAGGTTACCCAACTATACAATTTAGTTAAGCATTAACCAAGATTTTTCTTCAGATTCAAGAAATCTGAGCCATAGACCAATTAGCCATTATGCTCTTTTTCACAGGCTCGTGTCTTACTGAACGGTGCCCAACAAAATTGTTAAATTGCATTGGTCGGTATGCAAATCGCTCTAATTTTTTAGGTTTGAACAAAGGTATTTTTAAAAATGATTGCAAATAACAAATATATAAAGAAATCAAGAAATTATAAGGGGTAA